GTAGTAGTAGTAGTAGTAGTAGTAGTAGTAGTAGTAGTAGTAGTAGTAGTAGTAGTAGTAGTAGTAGTAGTAGTAGTAGTAGTAGTAGTAGAGAGAGAGAGAGAGAGAGAGAGAGAGAGAGAGAGAGAGAGAGAGAGAGAGAGAGAGAGAGAGAGAGAGAGAGAGAGAGAGAGAGAGAGAGAGAGAGAGAGAGAGAGAGAGAGAGCGAGAGAGAGAGAGAGTTTACACACCTTCATGAGTAAGTGTGCATGTTCAACTAAATATCCATACGTTTTGAAATGGAATGGGTGAAATTTACCTTTGAGGGATATTTCCTCCTCAGGATTGTTGAGCTCATAGTGCCAACCCTCCTGTTGGAAGGTCTGATAATCCTCAATACATTTTGGGAAGAAGACAGCATCCAAGTATACATCAACTAAATTATAGAAATCCTGGAGGAAAGGAGAAAAATTACTCAGGTAACTCGATACAGGCCAAATGGAAAAACAAAACTCCAATACCCGAAAGAATAACACTTTGGTTCTATCTCACCTTAGTATTAGTGGATGCTACTGGATAGCAAGTTCTATCAGGATAGGTGAATGCATTGAGGAATGTATGCAAGCTACCTTTAAGTAGCTCAACAAATGGTTCTTTGAGAGGATATTTTCGTGATCCACACAATACACTATGCTCCAAGATGTGAGGTATCCCGGTTGAGTCCTTTCTACAATGACAAGACATTTCCGGTTAGGATAAGAGACTAGTTACAGTTCTAAACATAATAATAGATATCTGTAATAAACACGAAGTCAACATTACGGAAAGGAAACACCATTTCCTAATGTCACCTTCAGTGTCAATGTGAAAAGTGAAGCCTGTTCTTGAGTTAAGCTGCAACCAAGATGGGAATAGAAAGTTCTCTATCACTGAGGAAAAACAGATGACTTTCTTGAAATCTCATATACCATCAGATTTCCCCATCATAATCGTATTCTTGTTATTAATAAGTAATAACTAAAGTCTTCTAGGTGTGCCACAAATTTTGTTTGGTGTTAGGCAGTTGTCCGAATCGTATTAGCCAAAATGGAAGGCCTCAAGGCACCAGGCAGATGCCTAAGTTTCCAAACTGGACCACAATTCACAAGAAGAAAACAAACGATTTTGGCCTCATCTAGATGATATTGAAACCAAATTTTGGTACTGTCAGTCACATTTTAGGCAACGGCCACTATGTGCATTAGGGGCTAGAACTCCTTTTATGTCTTTGTGAGTAAAAGTAAAAAGAGAATTATCTGTTTCTACACAAACAAAGACGCACCACATTTTGATGGAACTCAAACCACATATTACCAGAATACGTGTTGCAATAAGAGTAAAATATTAGTACATACATATAATATGCATAGTCATTCTTACATTTTATATATACTGTATATAATTTATCATGGCAACTGAATGAGGGAAATGTTATTTGATTCATGCAAGATTTTATATATGGTCTAATGAGGGAAATGTTATTTGATTCATGTGGTCTAATAAGGGTGGGGACCTTGAACTTTCCCATACCCGTCCCAAGCCCGGGTAAAAGAGGTGGGCTGCGTTAGGTAGGCAGCCAACATAAAACTTTGTCACATCTTACCATGAATCCTGAAAGAAAAACAACAGGCGATAAGACGAGGGAAAGTAGACTTAGGTGGGTTGGCCATGTATAGCGTAGACCTACTACAACACCAGTTGGGAGGTGCGATTTGGTTAAAGTGAAAGGCTCTAAAAGGGAAAGGGCATGGCCCAAAAGGATATGGATAGAAGTAGTGAAAAAAGATATAGTGACTTTTAGTCTTATTGAAGATATGAACCTTGGTAGAGAAGAATGACGGACCAGAATTCATGTAGCCCACCCCAAATCATTGGGCTAAGGCTTGAATGATGATGATGTTGTTGAAAATTTTATATATTTTTTTATCTGTATAAATATCAAGTTGATATTATAAAAATTTCTGAAATTTGGGTGCATGATTCGTAAACTAAAATTCAGAAGAATACAATCATTATCTAAGCACAATACGCAGTCCATGTACAAATGTGCCTTACGGTGCTGCAATAGAATTAGAAGTTGACACAAACAGACTTTAAAAGATAAATAAAAATGAAAAATTAAGAACTAACACAGTGAAATAGTTAAAACATAGAGTTTTCCAACAGACTACAGGTCAAACAAGTAGTATTCAAACCCTAAAACACAAAAAACCAACACTACAATTAACGTTGTCTAACAATTTGTACACGATTTCCAAGCCCTAAGGCAGGTTTCATTTCCACTTTTTTTATTTAAAATAAATTCATCAAAGACTGAATTTTGAACAGTTTTTATGAACTTGGATCCCAACAAACAGGGTTTAAGAGATCCTTGACATGGGGAAGGTCCGCTTTGGCTTTCGCGCGGTTGAGTGTTTCACCTTTCAAGGGATGTGATGGTTGTGAGTTATTCAACCAAGAAAGCTAAAAGGAACCAGTGAAAGATAAAGGCAGTAAAGCTAAATTCAGACCAGGCAAATTATTTCAAGGAGAAATTCAGTTTATACAGTAGTAACTACGAGTCCGTTAGCAGATCTATCTTCTCAATCAAGTAAGTTGGCTGAATGAGACTCCAAGCACCATCTAGAGGCGCTTAAGGAGCTACGGAAGACATATCAAGACCAAGAATTCACAAGTCATAGGCAAACAGGACGGCAGAAGATGAGAAGTTATATGACATTGACACATATGGTATTATGAAGATGAAAAATATGCAGCAATTCTGTTATACAATTCAAGAAGGTGAATTTTTACAAAACAGCAAGTAGAAACAGATCTTGATTAGCCATAGGTCTTATATCTCCAAACAAGATCAAAGAATAGAGAGCACAACTCTCTAGTTCAGATTGTTTCAGGTGCAACATGTCTTATAGGAGTGAAAAGTGTAGGTGATGGGTCAATTGAGAGTAATGCACATATTCAAAGTAATGGATCATACAAGGGCAATATGTGCTCCAATCCTCAATCGTGAAATAAGTGTATGTTAAATTAATGTCATATAGCAGGCAGCCATATGCAAGAATATATATTTTTAAATCTAACCAAGCCCATTTTGAGTACAATATGATGCACATTACATTCTTTACTCATCAGTAATTATAAAAAAAAAAGAGGTTCTCATCATTCCACTTCATCTATGTGGAATGATAGAATATGCAGAAGAATTCAAAAGGGATAATATTGATGATGTACTTACGGTGGAGTTCGAAAAACTATGCCAAAAACCTTATTTTCATCATCATTCACTACAGATATTACTTCTGCACCAGTTTTCTTATGCTTATAAAGGATGGCCTTTGACTTGCATTCCTCAATCAATTGCTCTGAGACTTTCTCAAACCCGAGCTCATGTGCAATATCATGACTCCCATCTATGCCTGTCAATAACCAAAGAAGAAGAACGTCAATAACAGATAAATAAGGAATAGTGATACAAGAAAGAAGAGGCAGATTGCATACACCGTAAGAGCCATTAAAATAAATAAAAAGCTAAAATAGCCTTTGTTTAGATGCACACTTGCATATTTCTTGCTTCAAAACAGTGAACCAACACTATCCTATTTAACGACTTGGCAGGGGATCAATGAACAACCATGAGAAAATTCAGTCTCTCAGAATGCCTGTGATGAGTTCTGTTCCAGTCCCAAAAATCTTCGTATCATTAAAAGATTAAGAAAATATCCAAAATGAACACGTCTTCATATTATTAAAAGATTAACAAAATATCCAAAATGAACACATGAGACATAAAGTCACATACCATAGTAATTCATAATTTTGCAGAGAAGCATGATATTCAACACTCCACAATAATTCATTTTACACCTTGAGTCCTTAAATTCCAAAAGTTCATATATAAGAGAATACCCACATCGAAATTTCAACCAATTTGGAGAGAAAAGATCAAGAAAAATGATAAAGCTCCACAACCATTCAGCTCACAAACAAAACTCATATGTTTCAGTTATTAAATTCTCAAAACCATCAAAAGAATAAGTGAACGAACATGCTAAACTGCCCAAAACTCAAATCTTTCAGTTATAAATTCACAAATCATCAAAAGAATAAGTGACTGAACATACTAAACCACCCATAAATCTATCAGTTCCATAACTTGCCAAAAGCAGACAATAAGACCCAATTTCATAAGAGCATGTACCGGAAGAAGCTTGCTTAGAAGGAGTGGCAATAGCCTGAGGAGACACAGAGAAACCTCTCTTATGTTGAAAGGCATATCTTGAAGTAGAAACCCATCTCATGCGACTTCCACATGCTAAAGGCAAACCTCTATTTCTTGGAGAAATAAGAAGTTGTTGCGTCAGAGGAGTAGACGCAGTCTTCCATGAGCTCCTGGGTTTTAGAGAAAGAAACCTCATGCAGGCAGTGGAGCAGGATAAAGAGCGCAGCAGCACCACTCTCTCCATTGCCCACCACGACGGACCACCCTCTGCCTCCCTGTGAGCGGCGAAATGTGTACTGTAATCTCTTGGTGGGGTTTTCGTTCTCTCCTCTCTCTCTCCCTCTCTATTAACGTTCTAGTAACGTGTAATTAACAACACCATGTAATTGTTTTGTGGAAAAAACTCTTCAGCCAGGGGAATTTGTGAAAATGACATTAAGCAATTAAGCGTTTAACTTTTTTTTTCTTTTTTTTGTGATAATTATATTTTTACATTTTATCTTCTTTATTTAATGTTTTTGGATGTGGTTTGCAGAGGTTAAGAACAATCAAAATAAGACACGGTTTTTATAAGTCCATATAGATATGAGTCACCTCTTACAAATTTATTTTTGAGATGGATTTTTGGACTTAATTTTTAAGGTTTTTTTCTCTTATTTTTGTCAAACTTTGGTTTTTATTCTCTACAATTGGTATAAGAGCATTAGGGGTTTAAGATCCTTAGTGGGCATAAGGTTTGTGGGAAATAGCAGAATATGAAATTTCAAATTTTGATGGTTTGAATTTCTCAACTTGGAAATTAAATGTGCATGTGGTGTTGGTATAAGATGGTTGTGTACTGATTTTAAAAGCTAGAAAAAATAAACTTGAAAAGATGGATGATGAGGAATTTGATGAGAATGATGAATCGGTCGGGGCAGATATTTTCTTAGAGCTTGATGAGTCTGTTTATTCAATGTCTCCTCAAAAACTACAACGAAAGACTTATGGGACAGGTTGAAAAATACTTATGAAGGTAAGTCTCTTCTTAATAAAATTTATCTTCGTCGAAAACTTTATAATTTTTAGATGAGTGATGGTGCATCTTTGCAAAAGCACTTAAATGAGTTTAATGCATTAATTCATAACTTAATGTCACTAAATGTAAAAATTGATACAGAAGACAAAGCAGCTATTTTACTTTGTTCTATGTCGGAATCATGGGATGGATTAATCATGACTCTCAGTCCTGCGAAATCTCTTGAATTTGATTCTATTATTTCAACACTTCTGACAAAGGAATCTAGGTGAAAGTCTAGTCAGGATTCCTCTGGAAATGTATTTGTAACACGGGGAAGATCAATGGAGAGAACTACTATTAGAGGTCAGTCAAGATCCAAATCAAGAAGGCATAAGCAAGTGAAGTGTTGGAGCTGTGTAAAGTTAGGTCATTTGACGAAAAATTGTAAGACACAAAAAGAGAACCAGAAAACCCCTAAATCTGGTTCTAATGAGAAGCCTAGTTTAAGAGGATCTCAGGGAAATCTAATAGAATAAATTGAGTATTCTGAAGATGATGAAGTTTTGTCTGTTGATAGGGAGGAAGTTTTGCAGTCTTAACTACTTGATTCAGGTACATCTTTTTCCATGACTCCACATAAAAGATTGGTTCTAATGGTATCAACCATGTGATGGAGGTATTGTTTGCATGGGAAATAATGACTCATGTAAAATAGTGGGAGTTGGAGATGTGATAATCAATAAGTTCAATGGAGGCATATGCATCATCCCGGGTGTCAAATATGTTCCGAGTCTCAAAAGAAGTCTCTTGTCCTTGAAAAAATTTGATGAGAAAGGTTCAAGTTTACAGATAAAAAATGATGTCTGAAAATTTCAAAAGGAGCACAAGTGGTTGCAATAGGAGAGTTAGCATGCAATTTGTGCAAATTTGTTGGTGAAACAATTTTGGGAGAGGCCAATATTTCAAAGGCGGACTCCGTCAGGACATAGCAGACGTGCTTGGGTCACATGAGCGAGCATGGACTTAAGGTACTTCTCGATAAAAATCTTCTCTTGGTCTAAAATCTTGTACTTTAGATTTTTGTGAGTCATGCTTATTTGAAAAGCAAAATAACTTGTGCTTTGCTTTATCCACCGTAGAAGTATGGATTTTTTAGAATTTATTCATTCGGACACATGATAATCACATGTTGTTTTTATGGGGGGTGCTACATATTTGGTCACTTTTATTGATAATTTTTCAAGGAAAGTGTGGGTTTATATGTTGAAAAAGAAATTAGATACCTTTAGTTGTTTCAAAAAATTTATGGTCTTGGTAGAAAATCAGAAAGGTAAGAGCATCAAGTGTTTAAGAACAGATAATGGAGGAACATTTTGTTTTAGTGAATTTAATAAGTTTTGCAGTGAGCATGGTATTGCTAGGCAGTTGACATATCCCATAATACCTAAGAAAAATGATGGTGCTGAGAGGATGAATCGTACCATTATAGAACGTGTCAAGTGTATACTGAGTGCTGTCGGGTTAGAGTAGTGTTTCTGAACAGAAGCGGTTCATACAGCTTGTTTCCTAATCAATAGGTCTCCCAATTCTGCTATTGATTATAAAACATCATAAGAGGTTTGGATAGGTAAGCCTATTGATTATTCTTTCCTTCGTAGTTTCGGTTGTGATGCATATTAGGAGAACTAAGTTGGATGAAAAATCCAATAATGTTTTTCTTAGCTATGTTGATCGTACAAAGAGGTACAAATTGTGGGATCTTATTGACCAAAAGGTTATAGTTAACAGAGATGTTATTTTCAATGAAAATTCCATACAAGAAAAGAAAGATAAGCTAAATGCAAAAACTGTTAAAGTGGAGTGCACCCATGAGAGAGATAGTGGTTAGGACCTAAAACTTGGAATTGTCCAAGAGTTTGAAGAATATTTAGATGATTTTTAATTAAGAAGATTTGATAGACCTAAAAAGGCTCTGGTGATATTTAACGACTATGTCTTATCCTATATTTGCCTAACATATGAGGGTGAGTCAGTTTCTTTTCATAAGGCATGTGAAGTCAATGAAGCAGGTCAAGGGAGAGCATCTATGGAAGAAGAGATGGAGGCCTTGCGAAAAAATAAAGCACGAGATCTCGTCAAATTATCAGAGAAGCGAAAGGCAATTGGTTGCAAGTGGGTCTTCAAGAACAAAAAAGGTCATGATGGTACCGTTGGAAGGTACGTAGCTCGATTGGTTGTAAAATGCTATGCTCATAAATTAGGTATTCATTTTGATGAGATTTTTTCTCCTGTTGTGCGCATATCCACTATTAGAGTTATTTTGGCTATGACTAATATTCTTGATTCAGAGTTGGAAAAATAGATTTGAAAATTGAAATTTAGCATGGTGACTTAAAAGAAGAAATTTATATGATCCAACCTGAAGGTTTTATTGAGGAAGGTAGAGAAAATTTGGTGTGTAGGCCCAAGAAATCATTGTACATATTGAAACAGATGCTGAGGTGTTGGTACAAACGATTTGACTATTTTATGTCGAGTTTGAATTTTCTTAAATGTGAAGCTGACCATTGTGCATATTTTCGTGGATATAGTGATGGAAGTTTTATTATCTTGTTATATGTCAATGACGTGATTGTTGTAGGATCAAACAAAGATAATATAGCAACACTTAAAGCTCAATTGGCTAGGGAATTTAAGATGAAAGATTTGGGAGCCGTAAATTGAATTCTTGGGGTGAGTTTACTTAGAGACAGGAAGACAGGAAAATCCGATTGACTCAGAAGAGTTAAGTGGAGAAGATTTTGTGACGCTTCAATATGTAGAATGCCAAACTAGTTAGTACCTCATTTTTTGTGCCATACTCATCAGCAATAAGGAGCTTCATGTTTGCTATGGTTAGCACCAAACCTGACATAGCATAAGCAGTGGGAGTTGTGAGTAAATATATAGCAAATCTAAGCTATGATCACTAGACCGCTGTAAAATAGATCCTTCAATATTTGAAGGGAACTTGCAATATCGGTATTTGTTACACTGGAATGGATTTAAAAGTCATTGGTTATGTTGATTCAAATTCTGCAAGTGACTTGAATAAAAGAATGTCTACTACCGTATATGTTTTTTATTTGGAAGGTGGTGCAGTTAGTTGATTATCAAGAGTGCAGTTTGTGGTGGCATTGTCTTCTACAGAGGCTGTGTATATCTCACATACTCATGTATCTAAAGAAGCAAATTAGCTAAATAGGTTACTTGGTGAATTTCGAGTTGTGCAATAAGGTATTATGCTTTATTGTGATAGTCAGAGTACTTTGTTTCTAACAAGGAATCCAACTTTCCATGATAGGACTAAATATATTTATGTTCAGTATCACTTCGTGATGTGGTAGAAAATGGAAAAATTATATTGCAAAAAATTCATATTCATGACAATCCAGTATATATGTTGATTAAGACCATTGGGAAGGAGAAGTTCACTTGGTACAGGACTTCTTTAAGGCTTGTAGTTACTTAATGATTAATAACTGGTGGACACTAATTTCTTGGAACAAACTAGTTAGAATGGAAACATGTCTTCAAGTGGGAGAATGTTGGATAATTGTGAAGTCCATGTATCCTTGGACTCACACTTCCTTTTCTTGGCCTTAAGTGACATGATTTATCTCGATAAATCTTGAGAGTTTTTTTGGTTTCCTATATACATGGGAAACCTATTTTGTTAGATTTGAAACCGTATAGGTATGGAAAAGAGTGGTACATGATATCCACAGGGAGAGGGAAATCTTTCCTAATTCTTAAAAAATAGTTGGTCCTATTTTGATGGGGAAACTAAATCCTATTAGATTTGATAAATCTATGAGAAATAAGAAATCTAATCAAAATAGGAGAAGATGTAACTTTCACATGGGTCTCTTATGGGTGTTTCTCTTTATATAAATTATGTCTTTGTAGAGAGAAAATAATATGCAAGAAACAATCCAGAGAGAAAAACGTTAGTTTTTTAGTTCTTAGTAGGCGTTCTAGTGAGAGAAAGACCCCGATTTAAGGCTTGAGAGAGAGAGCTTGTAATCCCTTGTATTCTCCATGCTTACCTGGTGTTTTTTTTATTAGTGGAAGAGAATTTTGATGCCCATGGATGTAGGCAACTTACCGAAGCACATAAATCTTTTGGGCAAGCTTTCTATGCTTCCCCTATAGCATAAAAATTATACACTTCTGCTTATCCAACCGTCCATTATGAATGGACGGCTAAGATTGCCCCAATCAGAATGTCACGTCTCTACACTATTTTATTTTAAATTTTTTCTATAAACTATTTTGACACAAAAATTTGGACGTCCAATCCTCTATTAAACTCGCACTAGCGGAAAATATAAAAAAATATTTCCAATAAAATAAAATGATCAAAATACCCCTGAAAGTTTCAAGGGGTATTTTGGTCATTATATTTTATCAAAAAATTAATTTTAATATTTTTTATAGGTGAGCTCCAATGAGAAGATGACACGTTCCAAATATTATATTCATACAATTTGTATAAAAAAAACCTAAAAAAAATTACGTTGGATCTTAAGATCAAACGGTGAGTCTCTCTTGATAAAAATTTGATGCCTGGATGGTAGAGAAAGCATAGATCTTATGGGCAATATAGAAACCTTTTCCAAATATTCTTGTTTCTATTCTTTTATTTTTTTACACTATTTTTCTTTTCTTTATTTTTACAAAACTTTAGTTTTTATCCTCTACGTAATACTACGTCGAGGTTCAAGTCTCTACCATTTCGATTATGCATTCTCACGCTCATCATGCTCAGATAGGTTTGTTTTACTAATTTAAGTTGTTTTGAATCAAACGAGGGATTGTTATTTTATTTTATTTTTATTGTTTTGAAACAACATTACTTGACCTTTTCTGTCAGTCCATTTGGCCTTCTTTGGTCGTTGTTATTTTTATATTTTCTTCACCACGATGAAAAGCCCTTCTTTATCATTATGCACATGCCTACTCTTATTTAAGCATGTAGGCCACCCCTCTTTTATATTATACATTATTTTTTATTCCAACCTTATTCCCTTTACATGGTTTGAATCAAGGTTTAAAAACATAGATCGGTGACGTGGATCTAGTTTGGCGGATCGGAAGTCAAGGAGATCTGGCCTAATGAATTAGCCAATAAAAGATTTAAAAAATTAGATAGCAAAAAATTAAAAAAAATAAAAATAAAAGTTGGGGCTAGTTCTAGCTGGTTCTTCGACATAATCTGCAGATTCTATCAAAGATCCAGCTGATTCATAAAGGGATCTGGCTGGTTCCTGATGTTTTGGAAACCAGAACAGGCATCTGATTCCCGATCTAGATTTGCCAGTTCCAATCCAAATCACGATTTTTTTTAAACCCTGATTTGAATGGTGTCTTTTTGTTCATATGGCTTCTCTCTTTGAAAATATGTTTTATATACCTTTTCTCTTACCTCTTTTCAACATGTGATTAGGAGTTGGATTAATATATAAAATTTTTAAGTATGTTTACAGGTATGAAAGGGGGGAAGTGACAGGTATAAGGAGAAAGAAGAGAAAGCCGACTTCAGGAAATTAATTTCAAGATTTCCATAATTTTTGTTGATGTCCATCGGCCTTTTATTATTGTGACAAATTGAGGTTTATTGATTAAATTAGCAAGATAAGAAACACTGTGATTTTAAGATCTTCGAGAGTGTAACTAGAAGTTCTTTCGACTTTTAATCGAGGGGTTATATCTTGGGATTGAACTTGCTGGAACCGAATTGTGTATCAGAATTTTTCGAGTCAGAGGATTTATCACTTCGAACAAACGAGTTCTTCTCATGTCTCCATATCCTGATTTTTAAGATTTTGAAACAAGATACAACCTCTACCAAGTTAGTTGAAAATTGAAGTTCAGACTTTATGTTGAAATTCAACCTATGTTGAGGGAACATTCTATTAAATTTTACTTTAAGGGATAATAAAAATAAGTACCCCGGATGATACTGAGATGAATGTATAAAAAAAAAATCCTTCAACTTTGCCCTTTGTCCTAGGAAGTAGTTATATAGCATACTCGTGCGCGAGCATGTTATAATAGTTTAAGATTACGAAATGATGTCAATTGGTGACTTCGAAGTCCGAACTAAATCAGCTTATACAGCACCACATGCCTATGAACGAGTAATAGAGATCCCACTTTTTTTTTCAACATCTTCTACAAATTATCGAGTAACTACTAAGGTAAGGGTCGTACAGCGGAAAACAAAGGGAAAATTACGTATGTATTTATTATAGTTTCCATTATTACGAAATTACCCCATAGTTTTTGTTATTATTTGTCTTTCTGTCTGTTTTTTTCAAGTCAAAATGAAATTTCTTTTAAAAAATAACTTTACATTTTTTTGGTTGTTGAACAATTGAATTCATAGGATTTTTGAGTGTTTAACAACAAAAAATAGGCCAATTTCAGTTCTTTAATAACCGAAAATTTTGCTTTTGTATTTGCAAAGTGCTCCTCCACAGGCCAGCTATATAGAGAGCCGACTTGCTTCACTGTAGCTCTAGGGCCAACTGCCAAAAGGGTGGCCCAAAGAAAGATCCAAACCGCTGCTCTAGGACAAAATGCGACAAGCCTCAGAGGTAGTCCATCAACTATACCGCTTCCCAGTCAAATTTATGGGTAGTTTCCGACCACTGAGCCCCTCAACGATCAAGTCTATGGCCACTTTACGGCTACGCAATCCCTCTTCAATCAACTTTTTGAGCGTTTGCCAGCCACGAAACCTTTCATTGACCAATTTGCCGGCCATTTGGCAGCCAACCAGCCCGCTCCAATCAAACTTTTGCCCATTTTCCGGCCAATGAACCCCTCAGCCCCATCTCAACCAACCCCTTACTGATCTGGCCTTTTCCTATATACCCAAGCCCTTTGCGTTCAATTTCCCCACCATTTCACACCCCCTTCAACCCCTTCATTATGAACTTCGCAGCCGTTTTCTACCCATGCAAGCCCTTTCAAATAGAGAGGAGGCATGAAGGTAGAGAGAGAGACGGCTGGTGAAGGAGAGACGGCGAGTGGCGAGAGATGGCGGGTGGAGGAGAAAAAGAGACGGTCGTTACAGAGAGAAAGAGAGAGACAGTGCAAGAGGGCATGTAGAGAGACAAAGAGAGAAAGTGTTGCCTATCTGCAAATATAAAAACAAAATTTTCGATTATTGAAGAACCGAAATTGGCTTATTTTCGGTTGTTAAACAACCAAAAATCTTATGAATTCGGTTGTCCAACAACCGAAAGAAAAAGGGTAAAGTTGTTGTTTTTTTTTTAAATTTCCGCTTTGACGTGAAAAAAACGGACAGATAGGTAATAACAAAAACTATTCTGTAGTTTTGTAATAACGAAAACTATAATGGATATGTATGTAATTTTTCCAAAACAAAAAATAGGGAAATTTACATCCTTATTTTTTACCATTATTAATCTCAAAATATGGCCGAGGTCCTTGCTCCCCATTTTTTTTATGAAAAATTACGTAAATATCCGTTATATTTTTTGTTATTATAAATATACTTAAAACTTTTCGTTATTCCACAGATGTCTGTTTTTTCAACTTCATAACACTTTTTTTAAAGAAAAGACGAAACTACATATTTTCGGTTTTTAAAAACTGAATTTTTTAAAATTTTGGTTTTTAAAAAATTAAATTTTTAAAATTTCGAAACCAATAAATATGACCACGTATTTAAATATGGGGTTGAAATGGTCTTTTGGTTATCATGCATACCCCTGCACTTTCATGTCAAGGATTCTAACCCTTCTATGTCAAGGATTCTAACCCTGCCATATGCAATCTAACTTTTTTTTTAATGAAAAATGGATGTTTTTTATTTTATTAAAAGCTAAAAAAAACATATCATGGAATGGATGTGGATTTTTTGTTGTCATGCATGCTTCTACACTCTCACATCAAGAGTGTCCCTCCATACGTAATCTAATTTTTTAAATAAAAAATAGTGCTTTTTATTTTATTAAAAAGTAAAAAAAAAAGACCATCAAAAACTTTTTGGAGAAAATCATATGCTTTTTACCTATACATTATTTGAGTAATAATATTAAAAGTAGATATCATATTATATATATATGTACCTTTTTTATTATTATTATTATTTTTTAATATGTCGAGTTATAAGCAATAAAATTTGATTCTTCAAAAACCAAAATATTTTAAATTTCAATTTTTGGAAAACCAAAAATTTAAAAAATTTAGCTTTTGAAAAATCTAAAATAGGCAATTTCATCTTTTTTTTTAAAAAAAAAGTGTATGAAGTTGGAAAAACGGACATCTGGGTAATAATATAAAGTTTCAAGTATTTTCGTAATAACATAAAATATAACGGGCATTTACGTAACTTTTCCTTTTTTTAAGTTTGCCCCGACGGTTTAAACATCGAACTTCATATTAATTTTTTTTTTTCAATTTTTTGATATTCATAGGTCGGTTTGATATTAAAACCATCAAACCAAGACCGCTCTACACTTTTTAGTCGATTTAACATTCGAAACATCAGATCGCCTTAATCCTTTGTAGATGAGGTTCAGGGAATGTACTAATTGGTGAAATTTTAAGTTCGGTGCATGTTACCAAGTACTAATACACGTACAATCTTAATTGGTTTTAATTGGTACCTATAAGAGAACCAAGTTACTCGTATTAATGCATGTACATAAACGAGATACATACCATGTCACTAAAAAAACGGGCTGATATTTCCATGTTTAGACCTCATTTTTTTGGAGTTTCAAAGTGGCTTGATATTTCAAACATCAGACCTACTAAAAAGTGTAGGCTAGTTCGATTTTTTTAACATCAGACAGACTAAAATAAATGTAATATGCGATTCAATGTTTAAAACATCGAATTGGGACAAACTTAAAAAAAATAAAATATAAGGGTACAAGAACCTCCTTATGAATATCACATTTCCCAAGAAAGTTCTTAACTCTAAAAATCAAGATGGCCAAAAAAAAAAATGAGATAGAGAAAAAAAAGGTCATTCAAAAATCAATATGAAAAGCGGGAGGGAGATGTGGAGAAAAGAAAAGAAAAAGGTAGTTAAATGGGCATTTTTGCTTAAAGCAGGGAACAAGAAGCCATGTTCCACCACATCTTTCTCATTTGCTGCTAAGAGTGCGTGTTGATCGGCGGGTCACTTGGATTGAACAGGAACAAGGAATTGACTTTACCCCTTATCTTTTCCTCCACGAATCAGTATTTCTCTTCCTTTATTTTTCAAACGTTATCCGCCATGAATCAGCAGTAATCACAGAGAGAGAGAGAGAGAACTTCCTCCATGCATTAGCATTGTTGGAGAAAGCATTAGCGTTATTTACTTAGAGAGGCATTTTTTGAGAGAGAGAGAGGCTTTTCAGAGAAAGGGGCAAAGGCCATGGAAGCCCCCAAAGAAATACTGAAAAACCTCCCTCCCTTTATCCGAATCTACAAAGACGGCACAGTGGAGCGGCCCCTTGGCACCCACACCATCCCTCCGTCCACTCTCTCCGCCGTTGGCATCTCTTCCAAAGACGTCGTTATCTCGCCGCAGGTCTCTGCGCGCCTCTACATCCCTCACTCCTCCCTCTCCTCATCCCCCATCACTAAACTCGCAACAATCGTATACTTCCACGGCGGTGCCTTCGTCATAGGGTCCCCTTTCTCCCCCTTCTACAATGGCTACATCGAAACTCTCTCAGCAAAAGCCAATGCCCTCATCGTTTCGGTGAGTTACCGCCTTGCGCCTGAGCACCCGCTGCCCACTGCGTACAATGACTCATGGGCGGCAATCGAATGGACTGTGAGTCTGTCGGATGAATGGCTGAACGACCATGCCGACCTCAACCGCATATTTTTGGCCGGTGACAGCGCCGGTGCCAATATTACACACCAGATGGCCATGCGTGCCGGGACCAAGGGATCACCGATTGGGTTGCGGGGGGTGGTTTTGGTGCACCCATTCTTTTGGGGCTCGGATTTGAGCGAGGAGGAGGAGGAGAGGAGCTGGTCTGTGAATCAGATGTGGACGGTGGCATGCCCCACAAGTGACGGGATCGACGACCCGTGGATCAATCCGAGAGCTGAGACGGCACCTCCATTAAAGGAGTTAGGATGCCAGAGAGTGTTGGTATGTTTGGCTGGGGTGGATTTCTTGAGAGAGAAAGGGAAGGCGTATTATGAAGCGTTGAGAGAGAGTGGTTGGGAGGGGGTGGCGGAGGTGGTGGAGGTGGCGGAGGAGGGGCACGCCTTCCATTTGTTTAATCAGGGGTGTGAGAATGCCGTGAAGTTGATGGAGCGTATCGTTGACTTCATCAGCAGCGGTGGGACTAGTTAGGACACTCTCTCAAATATATCTAAACTCCACTCAGCATGGAAAAAACGGGGTATCCTCTGCCCCTTCATCTGTTCGTTCTCTTCCCCTCTTCCCCTTTGAAAGTGAAGAAATTACGTACGCACCGAAATTGTGTGGAATAACATCTTTGTTCATTTTTTTTAAATTTTAAGTTGAGATCCTACTCATGTTTCACACATCAAATTATCTATATATATATATATATATATATATAGTAA